CCAATGTGGTGAAACCCTGACTCTACTAAAAATACAAAAATTTGCCAGGCATGGTGGTGCACGCCTATGATCCCAGTTATTTGGGAGGCTGAGGCAGGAGAATCATGTGAACCCAGTGAGTTGAGATTGCACCATTGCCCTACAGCCTGAGAAACAAGAGCAAAATTCTGTCTCAAAACACTACTACTACTACTACTACTACTACTACTACTACTAAATAAATGAATAAATAAATAAAAATGAATTCAGGCAATCTGGCACCAAAGTCGGTGCTGCAATCTCTGCGCTAAATCCCAAGTTGCTTGCACCGTAAGATTTAAGTAGACATGCTGCTTGCCCTGTCCTCCAGTACTTTAGTAGGCTCCCAGCTCACAGAGGAAATGTGACCCAGCCTCTTTGCCATCAAGTAAGGGCTGGTGCAAAGAAATACATTTTGATGGGGGTTAGGGGGTCTGTGCTGTTTAGAAGCTGTGTCTAGAATCCTGACTCTAGACACAGCTTCAAAGCCAGCTTGGAGCTTCAAGGGAAAGTAAAATCTGCATAAAAATGCAGATTGCATCCATGTTGGAAAGAGGCATTCAAGAGGATGGTCGCCCGACAGGCACAAGCAGAGAGGATAAACTGAGAACAAGACAGGGCAGGATAGAGAGGTAAGTTACAGGAAATTAAAACATAAGGTTTCTGCTCAGGATCAAAATTAGAATCCTGCAACAGAGTGCGAGAGTGAGGTGTCATCTTGGTTCAACAATACAAATTTCTGTTTGGGACAGTAACTAGTTGATTCACCAGTAAATGTCTTTTTTCAGAGACCCAGAGGAACTTCTTTTAAAAAGACCAGGGTAGCTTCACACTAACTTTGAGATTATTCACACATGCATTTAATGTGACTATAAAATAAAAATTCAAGGTTACATTAAAACAATTATTGTTTTTCTTATTTGGGGGGAGAGTCTGTTAGGAATATAAAGAAACCTTACAAGGAACCTACATCTTGGAGGGAATTTTTATAATGCCAGTTCTTTTGTGGTATTTCTTGTTAACATCCACAAACATGCTCTGCTAACTGAAATAGTCTACTTTTCATGAAGATACTTCTCTGGGTTTCCATCCAGTTTCTGTTCTTTTCCCTCCACCACATTGACTCTCCTTCCTCACAACTCATGCCCCAATTTCCTTACACATTTTCCTGAGAGTTTTGTTTCCAGTGCTCTCCTCACTACTCAAGTGAACTTCTCTCCACTGGCATCAATTCCAGCCATTTCTCTTATCCAACATCTCTCCACTTACTTTGCTCCAACTTTTAATTCTGCTGAACCCTCCATGAGTCTTGAACCTCTCTTCTGTTGACTTCTTGGTCCTGCAGTACCCAGGTTCTCCTGGCCTTTTTCTGCCTCATGATGGGTTGAACCTCCTCTTAACCTCCAGGAAGGCCCCCCTGATATTCTGTTCTCCCTCATTGTGATCTGAAACATTCTCTCATCTGTAGCTTAGGGTAAATATTTAACATTCATTGAATTCTAAAGACTGTGTGAATCCATAAAGGATGTAAGACTAGAAAATATGTCAACCAAATATTTTGCATGCAGGGCTTCAAGAATATAAAGTAAACAAACAAACAAATATATAAAGGCATATAAAAGGTCCAAAAAAGAAAATCAGGAAGTTGAGAAAAACAAAGAGGCCATTAATTTCAGATACATATTGTCACAGACATTGTTAAGGTTAAGAATAGCTTTTAAGTATAAGAAGCACATTACTTCTACATTTTATTAAATGAACACTTTGTAAATGAAGATTTAGCAGCTTAAATGATAATTAAAAACATAAAATCAACTAATCAAAATTTCAAACAGAACTCTGGCATGGTACTTGCAAAAAGATAGTGTTGCTATTGTGTTGTAGAAAACTACACAAAGAGTTAAAAAGTAAAAGAATCATTGATCAGAATCTTATGTCTTTAATAAAAATAATAGCAGTGATTTTAACATTTCTATAATATTTGATATTTTTCTTTTTCTTTTTCTTTTTTTTTTTTGAGACAGAGTTTCGCTCTTATTACCCAGGTCGGAGTGTAATGGCACAATCTCGGCTCACTGCAACCTCCGCCTCCTGGGTTCAAGCAATTCCCCTACCTCAGCCTCCCGAGCAGCTAACTTTTTTGTATTTTTAGTAGAGACAGAGTTTCACCATGTTGACCAGGATGGTCTCAATCTCTTGACCCAGTGATCCACCCGCCTCAGCCTCCCAAAGTGCTGGGATTATAGGCGTGAGCCACCGCGCCCGGCAATATTTGATATTTTTCAAAGCATGTTCAAATGTACATCCATGTTTGAGACTCACCATAATTGTGAGATATTGGTAGATAGTAGCTACTACCTATTTAATCACTGAGGAAAACCAACAAGTTAGTAATTGTTTAAAATTAAATGTTCTGCTCTCATTACAGTCATTATGTCTAGGAATAAAGTGCATGAAACTTCATATATTTTGTTTCATTTAAATAGCCTTAATGATTGTCAATACCTTCTTGGTCAAACACTTATAATTAAAATACAAGAGTTTCTGACACTGGGTCAATAAAAATGATTTTAAATTACTAGATTTTTCTCATTATTGTTTTCTACTGCAAACTTTACTGAAACAGAAAAATTATTGGTTTTAGCTTTCAGAATGTCCATATGTATGTATATACACAGGCATACATGTACAAGTACATTTATATACCTGAAAAGAGCAGAGTGCTACTTAACTCTTGAGCTGACAAGAAATGGTGGCACTCAAGTGAACCTCAATGTAAATATGTAAGAACGCTCATGTCTTAAATTCATTTGCTTCTCATTCAAGTAGCTTATAAAATAGAAGAAATCAATGAGCATATATGGACATAATCCAAATGCATATAATATTTGTAAATGTGGATAATGTCAATAATATCTGCTCTAGCTACTTCTTTTGATAAATAGGGCATTTGTGAAAGAGCAGTAGCAATAATGACAAACTGTGCCTAAAAGTGTCAATAAGTATTATTACATTCTTTAGTTTTTGACATTGTTGCTCTTTATAGAAGATAAAAGTAATATAAAATATCTGGACTATACACATTTATAAATGGAGTAAATTTACATAAAATAGTGGTTGAACTTTACAATTTAACTAATTTCCTTCATTATTATCATAAAAAATACATGTTTAATTTATTCTTTAATCTACTTTCTTATGAAATGCAAGCTTTGGTAAGGTACAATTTTAATTTGAAGCATTATTGTTTTTAAAAGGCCTCATTTAAATATTTTTTCAGTTCAGCTAGTACCTAACAAATCTGTCATAATTAGCTTATAAACTAAATCAAGAAATGTCAGTGGGAAGGTGGTAGGGTTTAAATACATTTGTACATGATTTGATTGTCACACTGCAAGGACATCAGTGGTGGAAAAGATGGTTCCCTAGGCTGGCATTACACAGGGTTGCCAGGCCCTGTTGTGTTCAGGATTTATTAATGATTTGAATGAAGACAGAAGGTAGGCTTATGAAATTTTAAAGTGCCATAAAGCTGAGAGATATTTCACTGGAGAACAGGATTCATGTCATTTTTTTAAAAACAAAAAGCCCCCAAACAATAGAATGGTATTAGGGATTAAAATTCAGAAAGATGAACTTCAACAACAAGGATCAGCTCCTACTCTGTGATTCAAAAAGGCAACTGTACAACAATAGGCTGGGTAAAAATCTGACTTAGGAGTTTTCATTAAAATAAAAAGGGAGGAGCATTTAATTGACCACATGTCAGTACGAGTCAAAAGTGCAATACCAGACAAAAAAGCATTGGCTCAGTCTTACTTAGGCCATAATAGAAGCACATTGTCTGTGGTGCAGGGTGTATTTGCCTCATTTTACTTTGCTCTAAGTAAGACTACATGTATCCAGTCCCATTCTTGACACCTCGGGAAAGTCAATGAGTGTTTTCTGGCAAAGACTATTGGCATTTTGGAGAGTCCAGGATCCATATAAGAGAACAAGCTAAGATCATTGGGATTTTATTAACTTGATAAAAGGTAAACTTTGGTACAATACACCACTGACCCTCAAATACTTGAAAGAGTATAACGTAGTTGAGGAAACAGACTTTTTTTTTACAGAAGGCAGAACTGGGAATAATAAATGAGAATGTCTAAGAAACATATTTGGTGTTAATAATAAAAGAGAATATGAGACTAGAGTCAGAAGCTCAAGTTAAGGCAAATCATCTAAATACTTTAAGTCATAGAATGCTGATCAAAAAGGGAACAGAAGTTGACAGTACTGGTACTATTTACCACCAAGACTGCCATAAATAATCATATGAGAAAGCAAACAAGATTTTTTTGAGACTTTAAAATGATTTCAAAATGATAATAGTAACAGTAAACTATGAGAATGGGGTGTCTACTGTTCATATGAAGCTGACCGGTTGTCATAACACTAAAGGGCTTCCTTTTACTGGGGAATGATGAAATTGAACTGGACTCGAAATAGGAGGTTATTGCTGTACTACCAATTGCAATTACAATTTATTCGCTATTTTGTCTCAGTTAAAGGCAATAAATGGCAATGAAAGGAAAGTTACAAAAGGCCACTAAAGTCAAAATTTTAATTTGGATAAAGAATGTAGTTAATATCCACAACCTTTATGGAATTAATAAATAGGCTGGACCCCTACAAAGATACTCATCAACTTAACTCAAAAACTAAAAATATGACCAAAGTGCTGTAGATCATATTAGGGCTAATTCATTTTATCCAAACAATACCTCTACACTTGTGCTGCCAATCTTGAGAAAATATAGAATTTTCTGAATTGCCAAACCTCTGTCACAATCTCAAATCTCAAATTTCAGCCTTTGGATAGTTGATACTCCCCAATGCCCATCTGCTTGCTATATTCTGGTTTCATTTTCATTAGTGTTCTGAAATAAGTAGTCCCTGAGTTAGTAATGCCTACCAGTTGTTCCAAGTTTACTTACCCTCTGACCCTCTTTTCCAGGTGGACCTTGGGGGCCTTGTATCCCCAGGGAACCCTATGAGGAAAAAGAGACACATGTTAATAGACTGTTTCAAGTCCAACTGCCTCACAAAGAATGTTGTGGAAATTAATAATTATTATGTTGATAAAAGCAAACCTTTAAAGTGATTTGAACTCTTTCAAGCTTAAACTATATAACATATTAATAATGATGAATTGCCCTTCTTTGGTTTATCTTTGAAGCTACCTCCAGAAAAGAAAAAAAGGCAGTCCCACATCACGTGTGAGACCAAATGTTCACTACCAGTGAAGAATCCCATATGATTGGAACCATGTTTCAACAAACCACCATAAGTAAGTGATAACAATATTTGCAAGCAGAAAAAAAATACATCTTTATACATTTAAACTCTATAAATAAAACTACATTTTTGGTTGAGAGTAGCTTTGTAAGCATCTTCTAAAAAAATGCATGATTATGGTGTTGGCATCTAACATATATCTACTAGTAACATTGAACTTTTAATATTAAAAATATTATTTACTGCTTTCTCATAATAATGTAGAGTGGTAGGGAAAATAAACATTCTTTTTTCAGATCATAAAGAAGTCCTGGGAAATCCCAGGTGGTAATCTGGAAGACAAGTCTTCTGATTCTTAGACAGGAATTCTTACTTCACATGAAATTAAAAATGATGATACTGCCATGAAAAAAAAATTCAGCAGTTATGACTACTTCTGTCCTGCTGCTTCTTTTTTCCCTAATCAACCATTAAATTTGGGAGAGTTTAGTCTTATTTTCTTCTCAGTCCACATTCTCTCCCATTGACTTCCTATATTTGTGGGCTTTGGATTCTCTAGATCAGCGATTCCCAGATCTACAATTCCAGTTTATCTCTGAGCTGCATTCTGACCCACCACCTGCTTGATGAAACCTCAGCTACCTCACAGGCATCCACAGTTTACCCCATCAAATGCTGAACTCAGGATCCTCCCTTCAAAACTAGATCCTCTTCCACTGTGCCCCAAATCAATAAATCCACACTCTTCATGCTCATGCCAGAAATCTCGAACTCATTCTCCATACTTGACCCTCTCAAACTTCTCTCTGATATCCAGTTACCAAATCTTATTGACTTTATTTCCAAGATATGTTTGAATTCATCCATTTCTCTCTACGCCTGTTGCTCCCATGTTCTTGCTCATCTGTAAGAGCTTCCTAGTTGACTCTACATACCCTTCCCTCCATTCTCATCACAGCCAAACTAATGTGAAGAAAACCATGCTTGATCTTCCCTGATTTGCCACTTGGAAACAATGCCTCTTTCAGTCTCTTAGTGCCTTGCACTTTTACTTTAAAGTACTTTCCACTAATTCAGTTAAGTGATTATTCATGTAATGATCTGTTTCTCTCACCAGGCTGTAATCTATGATGGAATCGATATCTTATTCATCATGGTATGTGCCTGTTAATGGCCAAATGACAATTCATAATGGAGAACTCATCCACTCTAATAGAAATAAGTTTTTGGGTAAAGGCATTAATTTTTTAAAAGTTTTCCAAATATTTATGATGAACCCATCATCTATTAAATGCCTTAAATGATTTGAAATAAATGAAAAATCTGATCATACAAATGCAAATAAATGTAAATTTATTCCCAGAAGAAATTCTTTTGTTATCTAATTTTAAAATAATTAAGATTCATATTTATAATATGACCTTTTTCTAAAAATTGATGGCTATGTTGAACTAAAATACCAGATGTACTAATCATGATCCATACTTATTATGTATATATTCATTTTTAATTTTTTTCATATAAACTACATTTTCACAAATGTCATACATGCATAATTTCACCATCTAATTTTACTTTAAATAAAAAAGTGATATACATATTTTAATTTTTCATTCAGATGACTTTCATTTGTTTAATATTCTCAGAATTTAGTATACATTATTGTAACTATTTTTTTTAAGTGTTCGTACAAAAAAAGTCTGCATATGTCATCAGTTCCAACTGTTCCTCCAAATCTTTCTTATTCCTTCTCCACAATAGTTGAATGAAAGTTATGCATTTATCACTCTCATATCTTTGATCTACTTTGGGAGCAATTTAATGTTACAGGGGCATATGACACCAATGTTTTATTGATTTAGGTAGGAATAAAAACCAAGGAAAAAAAGTAATCAGTTCTGTTTGTAGTTAAAAACAAAAAAACAACAAACCTGCTAAATGATATATAATCAAGTAATACTGGATAATTAGGCCAAGTTTAGGATGGCAAATTCCTAATGTTCATAAGAAAAACAAATTTTGAAATTCAAACATACTAATATAATTACAGAGAGTTGTGTCATTTTTTTATAAGACTGACACAATCTTGGCTCTAGATTAAACTCTTCTCTCCTACCCTTAGAACTATTATCATTTTATGAATAGTAAAGCTAATATATAACAATTTTGATATTCATCCAAATGCTGACAGCTTATTCAGCGTTTTTAAACATGAGTTACTAAAACATATACACTCCAGGGAATACACTTAATTCTGAGACACATATAATAAAAAATCTACTCCCTTTACTATTTAAAGAAATTATGTAGCAAAATCTACTTAATACAAGAATATAATATTTGATTTGGAATGTATTTAACAAATTCAAAAATATTTATGATAATCTTTTGTATGTGACACCCAAGTGGTAAGATACGGTACCAACTCACATGCATAAACCACGTTAGTGCCTCGTAGATGTTCATGACTCTGAGCTCCTCCTCACTTTTGCTAAGTCTAGGACCAGCTAGGGGTTTGATAAAAAATTGGGGAAATTCTTTTTTAATCCTTGATAAATCATTCACTATTTGAATGATCCATGACCAATTAGTAATTCTAGCCATGTTCTTTTCATCTTCAGAACAAGAGTACTGAACATTAGTTGACATCGACAAAGTAAAAATAATTTTAATATTGTCATTAATGAAACACAGATAAATTAATTGTAGAAAAATAATGTATATTCCCAAACTAACAAATTAGAATTCTGGGAGGATTATTTATAATGATCCAGGTTACTGTTCCTCCCATTTAGTAGTCAAAAAGTGGATTTATTTATCACTTATTATGAAAATTACAGACATATTTAATCTCCAATTTACCTAAATTGAACTTGGATGGAGCTTAGCATTTGTCTCAGAATCCCTTCCACAATTCTTCCTTATTCTGGCTTTGTAAAGGTCATTATGTGGTGCTTTATTTATCCTTTTAGATGACTGTGAGCTCTAGAGCATCAGTCTCCAACCTTTTTGGCACCAGGGACAAGTTCGTGAAAGACAATTTTACCTTAAACGCTGATGGGGGCATGATTTCAGGATGATTCCAGCACATTACATTTTTTTGTGCACTTTATTTCTATTATTATTATATTATAATATATAATGAAATAATTATACACTTGCCATAATGTAGAATCGGTGGGAGCCCTGAGCTTGTTTTCCTGAAACTAGATGGTCCCTTCTAGGGGTGATGGGAGACAGTAACAGTTTATCAGGCATTAGATTCTCAAAAGGAGCACACAACCTAGATCCCTCACATGCACAGTTCATAGTAGGGTTCATGCTCCTATGAGAATCTAATGCCACCACTGATCTGACAGGAGGTGGAGCTCAGGAGGTAATGTGAGCAATGGGAAGTGGTGGCTGTAAAAACAGATGAAGCTTGCTCGCTTGTCCACCACTCATCTCCTGCTATGTGGCCCAGTTCCTAAGAGGCCACAAACTGGTACTGGTCCATGTCCTGGGGTTGGGAACCCCTGCTCCAGAGGATAGAAGCTCATTTTTTTTTTCTATCCTATACAACACTTATAGAAGTAACTCAATAAACATTTGGCATATTGTAAAGAAGAAAACATAAAGTTAGAATAATGCGGAGTGTTGGTGTTGGAGAACTGGCTTCTGCTCTTTATATAATTATTTTTATTTTCAAAACTTGGACTTAAATACTACAATGGAGAATTTTCAATTTTGTCTGTCTTCCTCAGTGTGAAGTGATCCTTCAATTCTCCAATGTCTATGAGTAAAATTGTCTTAAAGTTCATTTACAAATTAATCATTTACCTACTGGAACATCATCTCTGTTGTAGAACTTACTCAAAATTTTGGCCACATCTGCTGTTTTACAGATTTATATAATTTGTCCAGTTAGAGAATCATATTCTTAATTATCTTTGTACACATGGCACATTAGCATAACCTGTGGATTTTTTTCCTTCTTTGATTTAATTCACTGAAGAAAAATGCCTATCAATGCTTTCTACTTTTTAATCTACTTAGTCTGCAATAAAATAACTTTAAGTTGAGTTATTTCTAAAACTTTTCAAATACACATATTTATTACTTTTCTGAAAGAGACATTTGAGACTGGATTTAGCATTTTCATGATGTAAACATCTACATATATCTACATAGTTATTCATTTTTCTTTTAACAAAATTCTGGAAATTAAAAATGTTGACAAAGAATGCAATTCATAAGGCTGTTACCTTTTCTATATAAGATAAAAATAAGCAAAAAAATAGTCCAAGCCAGCTAAACCATTTTAAGTTCCAATGGATAGCTATTACAATGTGTTACATTTCACACAGCTCTCTCTGGACAATCTGCTGATTATTTAAGACAAGCTAGAGCTTATCATCATGGAAGCCCATGTAAATATTTAACTGAGAAATTACTTAGAATTAACTGGTTCAGAACAGAAGTTTGAAGTGTTTAACAAATATAGCAGATGTTTAGTAGAGTTAATAGGGTAGATTAATTACGTTTGAACACATTTTCATTTGTGAAAAGAGGCAAGATACATTTATAGCTTCTCAATCAAGAAAAGGAGCTGAAGGGAAAAAGGAAAGTTTCATATTAGAGGATTACGTGCACTCCCTTGCCAGGAATGTTGCAGTACATATGATACCTAATACCCACTTCAACAAAAATGTTATGCAAGTGTATTTTAAGTGTTATGATTATTGCTTTAGAACATGCTTCATAGATTCGAAAT